CTGAGTTTTGTTCAATAAAGAGAGTTTCTATTTTTGAACACGTGTCCTTTATTTTGTACATCAGGAAGGGGGGCTAGGGAGGGGTAAGTGGAAGGAGGTGAGGGAGGAATGGGGTATGAGCCCCCGATGGGGAGGACTTGGGTGGATCTGTGGGCTTCTCGGGGTGAAAGCTCTCCTGAAGCCCCATGATTGATCCCCCCTCCGGATGGCAGCCTGCGGCAAGTGCATCCGGTCTGATGGCCGAGTGGTGTGATGTGCCCAGTGTGGGTACTCCGGGCAATCCAAGCCAGGACTGCTTTGCAAGCGGAGCACCCCTGAGAACTGTCAGTCCGGGGTGGGGGTCAGGTCCCTTTAAGCACAGCCCTCGGCTAGCCTGAGACAGCAGCTCCACGCTCTAAGTCCTAATCTGATGCCCTGCCGGCACTGCTTCCGGCCAGCCTTAAGCCCTGTTCAGGGTCCACTCAATGTGGACATGCTAGTTCGAATTAGCAAAATGCTAATTCAAACTAGTTTTTTAGTCTGGATGAGTTAGTTCGAATTAGCTTAGTTCGAATTAACTAATTCGAACTAAGTTAGTTCGAATTAGTGCTGTAGTGTAGACATACCCTTAGTGTCAGCAGTAGCAGTGAAGCTAGGCAGCAAAACAGTAGGGCTGAGGAGAAAGTGAAATGTTCAGCATTGACTTTAAAAGCACCAGGCATGTTGAGTTTACTCTAGACAAAGCCATATGATGGTTATACTCCCTCGGTTTCTACAAAGACCATGATAGATTTGTGTGTGTATTCGTGGTGCAGAATTCCCCCAGGAACAGCCTGGGTGGCTGTGCATCTTTCAGGATCAGTCAGCCACTTGCCTCTGTTTTAGCATATTACACAGGTACTACAGAGAGGAAAAATACAAACAGGAAATGAACAGGAGCACAGTAATTGTTTCAAATTAATTATTCCCTACATAGAATACCTAGATCTCATAGTGCTTATCCATAGATCTTAAAAGCATTTTACTAAAGAAAATAGTCAAAGTTTCATTACCTATAACGTGGCTATAATGCTACTTCCAGCATTTGGTCACTTGCTGCATTACACCATGTTGTACTCTTTACTTTCCTGAAGGCTCTTAGAGCAGAGACTCATGTGCATATCATAGGAAAGCTATTCCATTAAAACTGAATTTTGAAGAACTAGAATTAGTCATTTTTCAATGTAAAATAATTTCAAATAAAAGCAATTAAAGAATTGCAGTAGGAGGTTCCACATCAAGATATATTCACTTTACAAGTAAAGATGTTTTTCTAACTACCACCACAAGAGATGAGTCATGTTGGGTTGAGAATACAAACCTAGATGGAGCACATCTCAACTCCAAGAGTGAAGGGGCTTCAAGCCGTTCTGATGGATTCCAGGCCTTATCCATCCTACCATTTTCATTTGCCAGTGGACATGCTTTCACTAAACTGTGTACAAGAGAAAACCCAGCACTTCTCATAAGGAACTCAGCACTATACATGTAGTTGTGTGCTCATCATGCCAACATTCATTACTTTGCACTTGTCAAAAAATGTAATCTAGCAGGGTACAGCTAGATGACAGCTTTTCCCAATACTTTTGTTGGAAGAGGCTTTTCCAACATTTGGCCCATCTAGACTGGGCCAAATGTCAGAACCCCCCCCTTTCAAAAGCCCCCTTCTTCCTCGTAGAACGAGGAATACAGGGGCTTCCAAAAGAGTGCGTTTGCTCTTCCGCAAAAAAAAGCGGAAGAGCAAACGCGTTCTCTGGACATGGCGGAGTTTTTTCAGTATACCCCCGCAGTCTAGCCATACCCGCAATCTTGATTCCCAACTAGTGAGACATTAGGTCCTTCTGAAATTGCTCAAACTTTAGTCTTGTCACATTTAAATAATTGTGTTATCTAGAATTTATTTTACTGTTTACTATTTTTCAGATTATATTAAAACACCACAGGTTCTGGTCCAGAACTTTGGAGCTTTATCAACTGTCTCTCTTAATTCCAAAAAGTCTGACAATTTTTTCAGCATGCTTAGAGAATTATAGTATATTAAAGCGATAACTAACTAGTGAAAGATGCTACAGGCCAGAGTAGGTCAACTTTACACCTGTGCAATTCTGGAATCTTCCATGTTCGCTGTGCCTTTTACCGATCAATGGTTTTGCTTATGAATAACTGAAACCTCACAACTGATCATACACATGAAGGAATAAAATTCAGGTCACCTTAGTATTGGTGGCTTTGCAGGGTGAAGAGAAAAACACAGTAAACAACCTGACTGAGTACACAAAGGGAACAGAGCTGTTGAATAAGAAAAGTGCTATGCAGTTTTTTTGTTTTAATACAATTACTCTTCAGATGAGAACTGTACTTTTAATACTTTTGTCTATCAATCAAGCAAAACAATTTTTATCAATTCAAGTTTGAATAGAAACCCTCTTAGGCTTGTCTGCTTTTGTACAATTGTTTATACAAATTCAAGAAAGGTAAAACTGCATCTACGAAAACAACACCTTACAACAATGGCACTTATCAATGCAGAATTTTACAATCAGGAAATAGCCATGTTATAAACCTTAAATGAGAACTCAACTCACACTTCAAACAAAGAGGAAAAAGACTATGCTTGACCATTTAGTCTACTGCTTGACTCACTGTATAAATTATTTTTATATTGAGTACAAGAGCTCATGCTAGAGTGAAACCCTCCTATGTGCAAAAGCTGAAATTGGAATTTTAAAAATTTTGAGAAAAAGGTGATTTCTATACAGCTAAAACGTGGCATAGTGTCTTACATCAACTATAATTTACACCTTATTTTCACAACATGCTTATGTCACTTATGAAGTATACAAAGCAGGATATAAACTTGCATTAACACATGCTTGACATAGAAAGTATTAACCTACTTTTCCTGACCTGGGCACTTTTGCAGATGGATACTTTGTCTACAAAGTATAGGTTAAGTTCTCTCCTACTGTAAAGATAAAAATTGGCAATCCAAACCCAAGACACTGGTAATGCATTCAAATATTGCATAAATAACTTTTAAACAATTTTATACAAAAATAGTTCTGCATAATGTAAGATGTAACAAAACAAAATGGCTGTGTCTACATTGGCACCCCTTTCCGGAAAAGGGATGCTAATGTAGACTTCGGAATTGCAAATTCCGCGGGGGATTTAAATATCCCCCGCGGCATTTGCATTTACATGGCTGCCGCTTTTTTCCGGCTTGGGGATAAGCCAGAGAAAAGCGCCAGTCTGGACGCGATTCTCTGGAAAATAAGCCCTTTTCCGGAGGATCTCTTATTCCCGGAAAAGGGCTTATTTTCCGGAGAATCGCGTCCAGACTGGTGCTTTTCTCCGGCTTATCCCCAAGCCAGAAAAAAGCGGCACCCATGTAAATGCAAATGCCGCGGGGGATATTTAAATCCCCCGCGGAATTTGCAATTCCGAAGTCTACATTAGCATCCCTTTTCCAGAAAGGGGTGCCAATGTAGACACAGCCAATGTTTTCAGAAGGCAGAAATACAGTGTGTGGTCCACTCTAATGACACCAACTTTTTTTGTTTTAAGAAATTAACAGAAATTAATGTACACTACCCAAGCACATGGTGTGGTACTTTAAATAACAGTATTTCTTGAAGATCAGTCTTCTTCCATGTGTGCACATGTATCATCAATAACAGTCGCCTTATGAATTTGCATATGAGCCAGCGCAGGACATCCCCAGTAGCCTGACTTAAGTGGCACAGGTTGAAATTCTTAACATGGGTAGTTTAAATGATGTTCTCTCCTTGACAAGACTGTAAAATCTGATCTTTGATATGGATCTTTTTGGTTTCCCAATTGAAAATAAAATCCCTACATGTTCTTAGACCTTTCCCCATCCCTTGCCCCAATATTTACACACTTGTCCTTTAACTAACTCAGTTTTTGAAGCAGTTTCTTTTCCACCTGCCCAAACTGAACACTCACGGACATCTCTGCTATGAACTGCTCACATCCTTCCTTTGTCACTTGCTTGCAGTACCTCAAATCAATCTGACAGATATTTCCACAACGTTTAAAGTAGGACAGGCACTGGTCAGTAACCTTATTGCAGTCTGCCAGGAAAACAACAAAGGGGAGAGAAATTAACAGTTTGTTTTACTTAATTTGTCAATATAAGGACTATTTATACAGACTGTGACATGCCCCCATTTGTTCTTTATTATTGCACTAGTCATTAAAATCAATGAATTAAAACCCATCAGCTTGATGACAGCTCTCTGACCTTTGCAGCCACTTGTGTAACGGATACAAATACAAAACAAGCCAGTTGCATGAGTGGTGCCAGAGGGGGCTTAGAGTCACATGGGGAGGATGGATAAAGTAGAGGGTGGTGGTCTCTAGCCAGAAAACAGAGGAATTCTCTAGTTCCTGTTAGTCAGCATGGCACAAAGTTCATTTCTGATCCGCAGTTTTTCAATCATTTGAACTATGTTCAGAAGAACAAGAATCACTGTTAAAAAAAGAAGAATTGTAGAGGACACATTCTAATCTGATCACTATGCCTCAGAGCATTTTTATAGGTAGTTATTCTTTCCAAAAGTCAGTGTAGACTAACTTTCAACACTGAAGAAACTCACTTTCCATTAATAAAAAGAGGGGCCTTTTGCCCAAAAGTAGTTACACTTTCCTATTCTGCCACACAAATGCTTTACACATTTTCTGTACATGCTTTGCTAAAAATAGAAAACAGTTGTTTGCCACTACTATATTCTTTAGATTAATTAAAATAAACCACTGTTTTCTAAATGCTGAGACACTCCTCTAGAACACAAAGCATTCTGTTGAAATATAACCTCCTCTATAAAAGGCTTCAGGTTCAGATTACACAATACAGAGCAAGGATATAAGTGAGTAACCCCCTGCCCTCTGATACAGAAGCAGCAAGGGGTGTGTGTGATGTGAGTAGTCAAATAGATTAACTGATAAGCCTAGGCTTATCAGTTAATCAACTAGTTGACTACTTGTTTACATCCCTACTGCGTTTTTTTCCCAGGAAGGGTCAGGTGAGCTGCAGGGGAGGGGGGGAAGGATTCCTATGGCTAATTTTCAACTTGTACTCTTATATTTCATACAAATCCAGCATCTCTCATACAATTAGGCAAAGCCTCATGTGTCTCTCCCATCACATACCTGATAAGTTAATTTCAGTTAAGGAATCACGTGTGGTGGTTCCTACTGCAGTCAGCATGTTAATAGACTGATCTGACACATTGTTACAGTAACTAAGATTGAGTTTGGAAAGCAGAGGCATGTTCCTAATGATCAATCTCAAAGAAGCATCTGTAATATCCAGACCAGCCAAATGCAGCTCAACTATGTTCTGTAGTTTACTTCGGTTGTCAATTTGACCTGCAAGACAAAAGGTTTTTATTATTATTATTATTATTATTATTATTTCACTCCAGCTTAGCAATCAGTAGCAGATTAAAAATCAACCCCAAACAATACCCCCAATTTACTTAAATGGACAGTTAAACATAACACAGAAGTGATTTAAATTACCTGCTGTTTTAAGGAGCCCTCAAAGGCTATGTCTACACTGGCGGGTTCTTGCACAAGAACACGTCCACACAGTCATGTGCTTTTGTGCAAGATCATCCATGGCAGTGTGGACACTCTCTTGCGCAAGAAAGCTCTGATGGCCATTTTAGCCATAGGGGTTTCTTGCGCAAGAAACCCCTGCTGCGCATCCACACTGTCCTCTTGCGCAAGAGCTCTTGCACAAGAGAGCTTACACTTGTTAGAAAAGAGCATAGATCTTGCGCAAGAAGCCATCTCTTCTCACGCTTTACTGTAAATCTTCTTCCACAAGAGCAGGCGGGTCATGTGGAAGCTCTGCGGAAGAACAGCCGTTCTTGCACAAGAACCCACCAGTATAGACATAGCCAAGGTGACCAGCAGTGACAGTACATTTTCCTCCTGTTTTTTCACTTTTAGCTTGTGCATTTGACAGCACTTTAGGTAAAGTCTTTTTCACTGTTTCCCTCAGTAGTGAAATCACTTTCCCCTTTTTTGCAAGTGTTACACACAGCAATGGGAACAAAAAGAACAAAAACTGAGGTCTGACAAACCCAAGCCCAACTCAACAATGAGTCAAAATGGAACACTGAGACTTATTTCAGCTCCAGTAGAGTCTGCAAAATGTGAAATGCATTTCAAATTCATATTGTTGATGGTAGTTTTGTTAATGATTTTAATAGAGCTATTTGTAGCCATTAGCATGCAAGAGTCTAGAATTGAGCCATTATTTACTGTTTGCACGGGCATATGGACAAATCCAAACCCCAATGGGGGAAAAGTGTGGTCTCAGAAACAGAATGAAGTGTAATGTCCCACACATCGGCTACCAATTACTGGCACATGAAAAATACTTGCCAATAAATCCATCTGTTACCTGGCCTGTTATCTGTTGGTGGTGACAAGAGGTCTCTCATTTGTGCATCTTTTAATCCTTCCACCCACTGAACATCCAGGGTTCGGAGTAAAGGACAAGTGGAACTACAAAGTGTAGAGACAGCAATCCACGAACACCCTGATAACAGCAGATCTCGGAGACCTGGAGAAACAAACAAAGGAAATGCCACAGTTGATCCTACTGTAGAGTCCAGTTGAGGTTAAATTTTAAGGATAAATGTAGTACTGGTGACAGGCCCTAACACTCCAAGGCTACGTCTACACTGCAGGCTTCTTGCACAAGAACTGTTTTCCCCAAGAGTTCTTGTGCAAAAGTACTTGCACAAGAGCGCGTCCACACTGCCATGTTGTTTTGCACAAGAGCTGTGCTTTTGCGCAAGAGCATCCATGGCAATGTGGCCGCTCTCTTGCGCAAGAAAGCTCTGATGGCCATTTTAGCCATAGGGGTTTCATGCGCAAGAAACCCCTGTTGGCCATCCACACTACCCTCTTGAGCAAGAGGGCTTATTCCTCGTGGGGAAAGGAATAACTCTTGCGCAAGAAGCCCTCTTTTCTGATGCTTTACTGTAAGTTTACTTGCGCAAGAACGAGCGTGCTGTGTAGACGCTGCACAAGTTTTTGTGCAAGAATGACTGCTCTTGTGCAAAAACCCTGCAGTGTAGACGTAGCCCAAGAGTGCACAATCTTCTGACCATAGAACTGACATAACACAGGCAGCGACCCTTCAATGCCCTGACACTAGATCACCCCTGCTCTGGAATAGCCATGGGGGGGGGCCTGACTGAATTCTCAATTACCTTCTTGATCCTAAACTTCTCTTAAGAGGCTAGCTAACAAGGGTGCCTAATTTGGACATTTTCCCACTAGGACCAACCACACACATAGGACCCTGAACAATCATCACAATTAATTTCCAGTCATACTGTTCCTGTAGGATTCTATCTGTGTATTTTAGAAATGTGCACCTGTCTGTCTGTCAGTGAGTCTGTTTGTTCAAGAATGCTTCCTAAACATTAAGAGCTAGGACCACCAAATTTGATATGCCACCTCCTCTTACCATAACTTAAAGCAAGGTTGGCGTTTGGTTGTGCCAGGAAAACAGGGTTTACCTGGAATCTGACTGTTTTCCATCGCATGGAAAGGGAGGGGGCTGATCGGAGAGACAGCAATACGGCAGAGTGACCACTGGGGATAGCGAGCCTGGGGGAACAATTATACTGCAGTGACCACAGGGAGGTGGCTATACCAGTAATATGGTAGCTGGCTGGGGGAGGGACTCTGCATGTTACTACCCAGGCCAGGGGGGGGGGAAGCCCTGCTGGCCACACCTCCATGACCTCCGCTGGGCCCACCCCCAGGAGATGCAGGGGAGGGGGGGAGGACCTGGCCCCAGTCCCCTCACAGGAGATGCCAGGGTGCCAAAAAAAATGCCACCGGAGGGAGGCAGAAACCACAGCCTGGCCTTCCCCTCCCCCACAAAAAGAGGCTGAGGGGTCCAGCAGGGCAGCCCCCTTCTC